AAATACGGATGCAAATGAGCTTTGGCCTTCAGAATTCTGGTAAATTACAAACATGGTCCCTGGTGTTAAGAGGTGTCTCCTGCTGCACACAACGTGCGCAAGCCTTCAGACCCTTCCCAAACCAAGATTCTTGCTGAAGGCAGGGACAATTTTGCCCCTGTAAAGAATACAGAACCAGGACAAAACCAGTATACCTGCTTTTCTAAGTGACCATTGCACAAGGCTTGCGGACAGAAGGCTGCTAAATCCCAGAGGGCACTGACAGGTGACTAGATTCCAAAAAGAGAGGAAACTCCACCTTGGGAAACCATTACTGCTTGTTGCAGACAAGGCTGTCAGGAACACAGGTAATGAAGGATTAGTACTGGAGAGACAGGAAAGAAGTAATCTTAAAACATTTTTGTGATTCCTTTTGTGTCCAAGCAAGACAAATGTAGTGGACCCACACAAATGGTTACTTTCTCACACACCTGCAAAATTTCTCAGAAGAAATATACAAAAAATTGGAGTACATCAGAGTCAGGTTATATTCCGAAATAGGTGGGATTTTTTTCCCTTGTACATAGTAGTCTAACAAAATAAAAGACTATTGCTTTTATCCAACACCCTCCTTACAGCAATAATATGTAAAATCCAAGCACCCTTCTGAACCTACCTTCTTTATTCTTTCCTATGTAACTAAAAACCAAAGTGGTTTGTGCCTGTAACAACCATTTATAACATCTGTAAAAGTACATTTTAAGGCCTTTGGCTTTTCATCATTATTTTGAGCAGCTTAAGTCAACTGGGAACAAGATTTGTGGTTCTCATGTTCTTGTGTTGTAAGAACACAACAAATCAAGTTCTCATAGCAGCAGTCTGCCCTACCAAAAGGGGCAGCTTTAACATAAAGAAGAGAAACATTCCATATCCATAATTAGATAAATAATACTTCAGGCAAGATATGGCACCTTTAAAAGCGCCTTTTCAGACTCGGATTTTTCTCTGCTTGTTACTACAGAAACCATCTAGCAACCAGAATCTAAGACAGACTCCACCCAAAACAGAGAAAAACAATATAGACAGAGTAGGCTTTTCCTCCTCTTCCCCCCCCCCCCCCCCCCTTTTTTTTTTTAAATGTGGGTGAGTGCTAAGGAAAAGTATCTTACTGTGCAAAGGACAGGAGCATTTCGCATGCAGTTGAAACAGTAAAGCTCTGATTACAGATGGCAGAAATGAAAGCAGGGAATGAGTAATGAGCAATGAGAAATGCGTAATGCGGGATGAGGATATAATTTCCACACATCGGCTAAAGAAAGGTTTACACTCTTAAGCAATAAAAACAAACCATTAAGCCAGACCTGCACTGTCAGGAAGTATAAAACAGTTCTTGAAACTCTGCAGTTATTATACAAAAGCTTTTCATAAACTTTTGTTTCCTGATCTTCATAAAACATTAACATCAAGCTGCCATATGGCAATTAGCTGCCTCCTGAAATCAATAAAAAAACCCAAAAATCAACAGTTTAGGAATAGCTGTACAATAAAATAGTTCAATAATTATCCTCTTCTAATAGTGTAGCAAATTGGGTCTAATATAAATGCAGTCCAGATGAGCTCCTTCTTCAAAGCTGAGAGTACAATAAATCATGTTCCTCTCCAAGCTTCATCAGTACTGATTGCACAAGTGAGACCTCTAACTGCCTACCGGGGGGAAATCAGGTGATAGTCTGTGGACACCCAAACCCAATTATCGTACGAGCAGGAAAGGTCTCAATGCCTGATTATGATGAGCCCAGGCTAGCCCAGTGGAGCAGATCCTGCTCGGTGAAAATGGCCAATGCTCTCGGGAGAGCTTACCTCAACTGAAGATCTTCCCACGTCATTTTTACATGTTGCTGACCACAGAAGTCCAATTGAATTTTGCGCAAAAATTATCAAGCCACTTGACAAAGCTGTTACTGAGTCTCAAAAGGACAAGGAGAGATGCTGATCACATTTGTGTTTAGAGAGATGCTTATCTGAAATGCACAAAGGGTGACATTATCTATCACAATCTCTGCCTATATAGATTATATAAGTGCCTAGAAGCAATATGTTTAGGGGAAACAGGCTATACGGTAACAAAGGCAGTTTTGCCTTCTGGATCTTCTGCTTTTTCTCCTCTTAAGAGGAAAAAAACCCCACTCATTTATTCTTGTAGAGTACTATAATACTAGTAAGTACTAAAGAACTAAAATAAGCAGTGGAGTACTGTGGTAACAGCATACCTTTAGTATTTAGAACTACTTAGCAGTCATTACCAGACTTAGATGTCAGAAAGTCCAAACCTCTCCGAAGGACTGTCTGATCATCAACCCTATTTAGCAGAGTTCAGGAACCCAGTGGATCTCTAGGGGAATTTTCTACTACTCATGTATGAAAGTTTGTTTTGTTTCTTTTATTTTAAATCCTAAACAAACGCTTCAGTGCAGCACTCATCTCCAATCTAGAGAGAGGTTAAGGGTTAAGGATTTAAAGATACATTACGAAACCAATTCTGCAGAGGTTTATTGACGTGCTGAGCTTGACACATGGATATTTCCTCCTCAAAATCAGTATGGAGCTAATGATTCTGTGACTAATGCTAAGCCGATATAGAAATGCTTACAAGAGTGGGTCCAAATAGGTTTACAATTATGCATTGGTCTCACAGTGTATTTTACTAAGGATGTAATTCTTTGTCAAGCAACAGGAGGTTTGCCTTTGCAAGGAATGGGGCATCACGCCATGAGCCAGCTACTGCTCATGCATAGACAAGTGCCGTAGCCAATTTTTTTTTTTTTTTTTGAAACAAGATTAGCACCAACGTGTTCTCATGCCTTAGAAGTAAAGTAGTCCGTAAAAAGCCTCCCTCAGTCTAGTTACACATGGAGGGCTAGGAGCTGTGAAACTTAAGCCTTGCAACACTGGAGTTTAGGATCTGCTTAGAAGAACACTAGAGTCTTTCCTGATTTCAGCAGGTTTGGGATCATACCTTTCCTGCTCACAGAAATGGTGCAATCTTCAACTTTTCAGCACTTTATGTCCAGATTTTGCAAGCTCAGGTTATAGAGTTCACTAGCACTGCTGTGACTTGACTAGCACAACCATGCATCCCAAACAATCAGTGAATTCTTGAAGAACCTTCACTGTGACATACCCTGCGACTGACAACCTTCCCAAAGCAACAGCCATGAACTCACTCATCACCAGTAAAGCTGGCAACAAGCAAAAGGCAAACAAAACTTCTGCACATGCGATGCTCCCCCCGAAAACATTAGCCAACAGAACAGCACTGGTCTTTCATAAAAACAAATAGAGGTTGTCCACCCAGCAAACTCGTAGGCTGATGATGCACTATGATGCAACATGACGAATAACATCAGCTACCTCTCAGAAATAAGAAGAGCCAAACTGCAGAGTGGTGGATTGTTCTCTAACAGCTATTAAAAATACTGCCACTACAAAGAAATATGTTTTTCTCTCACCACAGAAGCTTACAGCTAGCCTAAGATATTTTTAGGATCACAAGAGAAAAATACAATGAAATAAGTTTTCCTCTCCTATCCTCTCTACCCATTGCTTTTTGTGATGATCAGGATTAGAGAACTAACTGCTCTATAAGACGACTTGTAAGCCATCATCAAGTTTGCCTTTCTGATCAACAGACCTATTTAGTACCTTCACTGAAACTCAAGTAATTCTGATTATAAAAAAAAGGAGGAGTTTGAGGAGGGCCAGGAGAAAGAGGAGGTTTCTGTTAATAAAAAGGTAAGCTAGTAGGAGGCCTAAATCACAGATTTCTAGAGTTGACTTAGACAGGTCTCTAGTAGGACAACTGTACCCGCAGCTTTAGGGAATGCTGCCTCAGTTCACCAAATCCAGAAATGGATCTATGACAGAGTGCAAGGGGGTTCTGGTATCTCTGGAGGTATCACCAGAGAGTTATTCCATATCTACTAAATACAGTGGAGAGCTCCTGAAATAGGCAGGAACTTACCACTAGCAGTCCAGCACAATTCCATTCTGCTGCCAGCTTCAGCACACTTTGCCATGGATCACCAAGAAGCCAATTTAAGCTACTTTCCCACTCTACTATTTCAGCACAACTTTCACGCAACAAGCTACCCAGCCTCTGCATGCTCGCCCCAGGTTCTACAGCTAGTAACCTGGCTGCCATAACAGTCTTTTAACGTACAACAGGCACAGTAAGTATCAGCTTTAAAGTTGCATTTGCCAACTGTAAATCATGCCTTTGCCCCTTACATGAAATATTTAAAAAGTAAGATGTAAGCCTGAGTTATCCTTGTGATGACTGCACAAGTGAACCTTTTTTTCTTACAGACTGGACTTTTCAGAAAGAAATACCAGAGTGCTATGATTTATTATCTGAAATA